CCCCCCCCCTAACCCGGCTTCCTAGGAAAGAGAAGGGGGTGAAGGTGTTTCCCCCCGGAGTGTGGTGAGACCCCCTATGAGCCCTGGTGAGACCCCACAAAGCCATGGTGAGACCCCATGGAGCCCTGGTGAGACCAGGGCTCTGTGGGATCTTGCCAGGGCTCTGTGGGGTCTTGCCAGGGCCCTGAGGGGTCTCACCAGGCTGGTGAAATCGCACATAGCCATGGTGGGACCCCATAGAGCCCCGTGTGAGACCCTACGGAGCCCTGGTGCTGGTGAGACCCTACAAAGCCCGGGTTTAACCAGGGCAGTGTGGGATCTCACCAGGGCTCTGAGGGGTCTAACCAGGCTGGTGAGACCCCCACATAGCTCTGGTGAGACCCTACAGAGCCCTGGTTAAAGCAGGGCTTGGTAGGGTCTCACCAGGGCTCTGTGGGGTTTAACCAAGACTAGTGAGACCCCACTGAACCCTACTTTAACCAGGGCTACGTCAGTGCTACAGTTTGAATTTAAAACGTATTTGTGTGAAGTGTGAAGTCAAGTCATGGATTGGACAGAAATATGAACAATTATAAAAGACTTTATTATTTCCTAATAAAGTAATTATAAAATAATTTCTTTGTGTTTATTTGATTCCTATTCAAGAGAATTACTTTATATATAGTCAATATAGTCACAGAGGTACATTTTTTAAACATTTTCTAATGGTGGTGTGCCTCGTGATTTTTTTCATGAAAAAAGTGTGCCTTTGCACAAAAAAGGTTGAAAAACACTGCTCTATATGTCTACAATCAGACATGTTGCGACTGCATGGTAGTTAAGCAACAAAAGCTCAGGCAGCTTAGTTGCTAAGGCAATGTCAATGGTTCTGGACCGGGAAAGCACTCTGTGGCTAACTTGTTACCAGAACAGACTCTGGAAATCACCTTACGCAGAACCCAGTGCCTGGCGGTCGTTTCCAGGGTAGCTCAACAACAGCCAGTCAAGTCACATCTGGTAATGGCACTCCAAAAGGCAGGCTGATTATAGCTTTGCTGGATTAGCTGCACATAAAAGACCAGCTTCAGCAGTTATGTAAAAAGAGTCTTGAGTGAAGAAAACAGTGGTGCCAGTAAAATTGGGTTACACTTTTCCAAGAAGAAATGAAAGAAAGACATCCATCCTCCTAAGACATTAGCACAAAACTGAGGCATGCTGGTAAAAAGAGAGCGTACCCTGGATTGGCCTACAGTTTTTTGTTTACAATCGCCCAGTCCTTATGGAGGCGGCAGTATAACCCAAAGATTTAAGACTTCCCGTGTCCCTCAAAGGATGAGAATTTTTTTTTTCCATTACGTTTTTTTTGTTTTATTTACATAATGCAAGAGCTCACATGAAATACAAGAGTCCTCAACAGCCCCTCCCCATTGACTTAAGTATAATGTCAAGAAAACAGCAGAATCCAGACTCAATTCACAGCTGACCTATGTTAATTGACCTTTCAGGCCCTTAAAATTGCTGTCAGTTAAGAAAAGAAATATGCTACAATGACGAAAAAGGAACTTCCAAAGTGAAGAAAAGTGGGGATGAAAAAGAAGATATATTATATATAGATAGATATATAATATAGATAGATCTATATTATATATCTATCTATATATAGATACATGTATAACAACTGTACTCACATGTAATCCTAATAAACACATTAAATTACCTCCATTCCCTGCACATCAGCTTCCATTGTAGATATGGTTCCTAGTGGGAATGACTGCCCTGGCTACTGAAATGAGAGAGAAGATAGTGAATGGCTCCTTTATTGCCTGCCTATCTAACCCACCTTAAAGTGCATTTCCACCTTTGCAGTCAAATTTGATCCCCCTTCCTGTCCTATATATGTTTGTTATGCGTTCCCATTTACACAGCAAACCTAAAAATAATTTGGAAAACATTTATTACCTTTCTAGCGGTTTCTGGAGCAGGTTTATACCTTCAGCACTACAGGCAGTTTCTATTGCTTAGAATAGATGGCAATGTGCAGTTAAGGGACAAAGTGAGTGTTTGAACTTTTAAAGTGCTTGAACATACAATGTGCCTCCCAAGCCTTGAGATATTTAACCCTTTGTTAGGGCAGACAGTTCTGCATATCTAGTTTACAACTTATACTAAAATCTGCCAGCACAGTACCCCCAGCTTTTCCCAACATTACACAGAAGGGGAAAGCCAAGTAAGATTTTTTTTAGTAAATATAAAGGTAAGCAGCAATGTTTAATTTTTTTTTGAAGTTATGCATTGTGAAAGGGTACCTGTAACAAATAAGTAGGTGTTAACCCAATTTGGCTGCAAAAGTGGAAATATACTTTACGCTTGAACAGTCTCAGGAATGGGAGAGGGGCTGTAGGAAGCACAAAGCGTTCAGGCATGTGTCAGAAAGCAAGATAGAGACCACAGAGAACACTGAAAGAACCGAGGACTAGTTGCACAGAAAAATACAATTTTAAAAGTAGGCAGTGTCCATTATAAACGCCTGAAAAGACATTTCAGCTGAAGTTCCTTTTTAAAGGACAGGATCATTTTTGTTTAAAAAACCCAGCAACCACCTCACCAATGGGCTCTGTATCAAGATCACAAGATAGCTGACATGTTAGCCATCACTTCATCACATGAACTGGGTGGACTAATTACTTTTTCTGGCCATTGCCTGTCTGCGGCCCCGCACTGGGCTGTCTCATTAAAAATGTGTTTATGAAGAGAATGCAGCAGGGGAGAAGCTGTGTTATAGACACATCAAAGCTACACAGTTGCAGCACATTTACTGTAGTGAGACCAGAAGGGTAGTTGCTGGGCTTTAAAATCGGAGTAAACCTGCCCTTTAAATCTTTTTGTTTGAAAACATGAGTGCACTTAAACAGATGCAAAGTGCAAAATACCTTTTAATAATTCTGCAATAAAAATAAATTATTGAGATGTGGAAACTAGAAGCAAAAGTTTAAACATCGAAATAAAAATCTGAAATCTATTCAAGCTACAAACCTTGGGAAAGAAGTAGGGTATAAAAAGTTTGTGAACCCCTAGAACATTTTCTGGATTTTTGAAAGTCTAAAAACAAAAACCACATTTTACATTGTCACAAACTAATAAAACCTTGACATATTATTAGTGAACAATTAATAGAACAATTAATAAAACAATTAATCAATGAACTGTTCTCAAGTGCAGGTTACCAAAATGTTAGGGGCCTGTGTTCTTATATGGCAGGGAATCTCAAACTCACACCTAAACTGCCTGAAACACCTGACACAGCAGCTTTTAGCACCACCGCTATGCCCAAATATAAGGCAAATTTAATTGGGCAAATGTCTGGTAGTGTCATAGCTTGCTGCACCCACCCCTATATTCCTATTGGCCATCATGGGTTGCCTAATTGGTCAGTAGGAATGTAGGGAAAAGTGCAGGGATGCTCCAACATTACCAGGCAGCCCTGAAGCGTCACCTGGTCAGAACATTCTGGCATCTGGTCACAGCAGAGGCACTGAAAGCTGTGCTCCAGGTATTTCTTGGTGCCTGTACTTTATACCCGTCAGCTGCTTTTTTTTGTTAAAGAGACAGTCACTTGAATCCATTTATTTAAACTATCCCTTTAATGATGTTACATATAAAATGCTGTGTTTGGTATTTTTTTCACACATAAGAAGTCCTTACCAGATGAAAATCACAATATATTTTAGGGTCTCTTAAAGAAGAACTCCAGAAAAACTTTCTTAACCCTTGCTGTGCAGGTTAAGTGCTCATCTTGGTCTAGGTGCTAAAATAACAGTTATACTAACCTGAAGTTCTGAGGTGGTCAGCTGTCACAACGCTCCCATCAGCCTGTCTCCTCCTCTACTGCAGCATTGAAATTGTCCTCAGCATCCTCATGTCTATACACTGTGTATAAACGTGATGATTTACGGGACCTTAGACCGCTGCAGGGGAAGGGAGGGAGGCTCCAGGGACTGGTCTAAGAACAAGCCGGGTCAGAGTATCGGGTGAGTATAATTTCTTTTTTTTAACCTAGACAAAAACCAGCAGTTAACCCTTGCAGTGTGGGAGAAGCCCCAGTGCATAGGTTAATAAATTTTGTTTAATTCAAAAATACAGAGGCTACCTAAGGGTTCACAACTCTATGTATTGCTAAAATGTCATAAAATACTATGTCACTGAATAAGTTTCCGTAAAATAATTCATGTCATTACATGACACTGCAACACTGAAACATCAGTTTCATGACAAGAATGTTAGGTACATCGGTATCCAGAAAACAGCATTTGAAAAGGTGAGCTACATTTTGTTCTAATATTAGCAGAACCTAATGTTTATATCAAGTCATTTACAGGGGTGATGACATTTCAAACAGATTTAACAGTCTGAACTCTTGAAACCTTTTTTTTTTTCCAGTTAGTGCAAAAACTGACTTTAAATGAGTTATCTTGATAGGATTATAGACTTCAGTCCGAGTTACACTGCCGATAAACGTTTGACACTAATGTCCCACACACTATCTGTCAAATACAGTAATGTAGTTTGCAATCACAGATGGGCTTATATTAAAGGCCGTTGGGAAATGGTATGCGGTAACCCACAGCAACAAGATTTCAGCAGCTTTGAGTGGACACACTAATGAATTTCACATGATACTGCACATAAACCGATCCTTGCATTCTCTTCGTAAAGCCCAAGAGTGACAAAATTCCAGAAAAAAAAAACCAGGAGCTATTGTTGTGCTCTGCACATCGCATGAGGGGACAAGTTGCTGTCTAAACATGAGCCAATAAAATGGAATACCTGGATACTCCACAGAACTATACATATGATGAATGATACATGTATTAAAACATGAGAGTGTCACCAAGACGGTAAATATTCGGCAACTGGGGACAGGAAAAGTTAGGGTGGAGGGAAGCCCTGTTCCATAAAAGCAAAACAGCTCCCTATGCTGCGTTATCCCTCCCCCATTACAACACCAAAGTTCATTTTTTTTCCCTGTACTTTATCGCCGTGAAAACCTGTTCTTGAAAGCTTTTATTGTTTTGGCCATCATTGGAGCAACTTCTGAAAAGCAAAAGAAAAGAGAGAAATGGTACAATTTACACATGGAAGAGCTAAATAAAACAAAGAAAAGAAATAAAAACAAATTTAGAAATGTCAAAGAGCAGGATATAAGCACCAAGTAGTAATTCCTTTTCCAGAAACCCTTGCCATGATAACACCCATAATCTAAAAGATGCCTCAAATGATTAATGGGTCTGAACTACTAAAGAGGTCTGCAGCCTCCGAGTGGGCGTAGGCCACACTCATAGGAGCAGTCTGTCTAATCTGAGCCCCTAAACAGGGAATTCGGTAGTATGTCATCATGGAAGGTTACTGAAAATGAATCATCGGCAGGTTTTATTTAAATCTAAAAATGTGAACATCTGTTACATTTAATTCCAGCAGATACATTCAAATGTATCTGTACTCAAAACTTTTTTCTTTTTAAAATAAATACAAACCCTGCAGTAATCAAGTTCTGAGCTGTACAACAGTGACCAATGCTGGATAACTCGGTGTAGGCCTGCTCTATATCCCAAGGTCCATATGTGGATCAGGAGGCTGTTGGTCAGTTGCAAGAGCATGTGCTCAAAATGGCTGCCGTAGCCTGATGGGAAACTATCGAACTTTGTCCCTGACACACCATTTAAAGTGTCGTAGGGACAGCCAATGAATTGCGCTAACCACCCCTATATGTGCAAAAGCTGGGACCCGAGACGTGTGTGTGTGTGTGTGTGTGTGTCCAATCACCTGAAAGTGGCTGCACATAACCCAGGCTCTTTGATTAAAGAAGCCTATTGTATGGGGACAAAATATGCTGCGAGTATGTGGTGCAGCATCGAGAAGTGCAAACACGTACAAAAGCCTCCAAACCCTCCTGTCACAGCTGAATACCAGAAGTCTCAGTGCTTGCCATTTGGTCTTACCCCCAAAAATTCCTATTTTCCCATCACTATAAAGGATAGCCATACTGGGCAATATGAAAGTGCAGAAGCTTTACTTTGGCCTTAGTTGCAGCTGTAAAAAAAAGGTTTGGAAGGCTGCTGCTGATATGTGTACCTCTAGGTATCTACACTTTATTCCTGCAGCAGTTTGCCCTCTTACTCCAAGTGACAGAGCCGCTTTAACATAAAAAACAAAACAATTATGTTAAAATCTAAAAAGTGTAATGTCAAATTGAAAGTGAAAATAGTAACGTAACAGACAGCTTGTGAAATTTTTAATTAGCCATCTTGCATGTCTCTACCTTTTCTACTGTACCATAAATTGATATACAGCATATTAGTGCACATTATAATGTCATTAAGAACTCTGATGTGAAATCATGTGACTTATGTAATTCAGAGAAAGATCTGCATTGAAACCTGAAATCAAGGGAATTATCACATTTGAAATTCAGCCTTTACCTAACAAACTTTTTTTTTTCCTTTAGGTCAATCATTTTTACTACATTTTCAAAATAAAAGTATAACAGGAAGGTAAATGTAAACAACGACAAAAATCAGCACAGAAACAAACGTGTTACACAAATTAGGGTAGACAGTACAAGAAACAAAGTAACAGAGAGGTACCCCCACTGAGCAGTGAAAACCCAGAGGTTAGGGAGAAAGCAGCGGGGTACCAGGAAATCATCAGTGGACCAAGTCTGTACGTAAAATAATGAAATGTAGGTGTATCCCATGAGCCCAAAGAGGACGATGCAAATAAGTGAGCAACAGAAAAGCCACCATAAAAGAAAAACAGATAAGAGAAAGAAAAAGAAATAGACAAGGCTGACTCCACTCCTGGTACTGGGTCCGAAGGTGGCAAAGTCTCCTACATATTGTCAGAGTGCAATTAGGCGTCTATCAAAAGCTTGAGAATGCAAATATTGGATCCATGGATCCCAAAGTTGTTCAAAACGGGGGACCTTATCTGCCAGACGTACAGAGATTCTTTCGTTGGCAAAGGTCCAATGAAATCTACGCTTTACTACCTGGGAATGTTTCAAAACAATTGTTTGCAACCATACGGCAAAATATATTCCAGTAAGCAATACGTTTAACAGCTAAAAGTAAAACCCATGTGGCTGACATCCAATGTTAAAAAAGCCATAAACAATAAGTAAAGGGCGTTTAAAAAATATAAAAATGAAGGAACACTGTCGTCATTTGAAAGCTACAAAGAATATAATAAAATTTGTAAAAAGGAAATAAAGCTTGCAAAGATTCAAAACGAACGACAGGCTGCAAAAGATTGCAAGATTAACCTCCAAAAATTCTTTAAATATATTAATAGTAAAAAAATCAGGTCTGAGCATGTAGGCCCCTTGAAAGATAACTCAGAGTTGGTAACTGGGGACATAGAGAAGGCAAATCTATTAAATAATTTCTTCAGCTCTGTGCACACCAAGGAACAGGATGTAACTCAAGTCCATAATGGGGATAGTAGTGCCATAGCCTCTACTGAACCACAATGGCTGACTATTGATATGGTCCAGAAACAGTTAGACAAAATTAAGGTGAACAAAGCACCTGGACCAGATGGCTTACACCCATGTGTCCTCAAAGAACTGAGCTATGTAATTTCAAAGCCATTGTATTTAATTTTTAGAGACGCTCTAATGACTGGCTTGGTACCGATGGATTGGCACAAGGCAAATGTGGTGCCTATATTTAAAAAGGGATCAGAGTCTTTAGCAAGTAACTACTTGGATGTATTCTTAAATGCACAGAACATTACTGGATATTGAGTTATTACAGGTATATTAGGCATCAGAAATTGTTGATGGACTCGATGGACTTGTGTCTTTTTTCAACCTGACTATGTAACTAACTATGAAGGGAAGCGATGGAGACATCCACGACTTTTGGCAGCAGTAAGACTATTCAATAGGAATTTATGTTGTTTGCGTGAGAGCCCAGCAGGAGGGAGGTTAAGCCAAACCACCTTTGGGTCTAGTATCAGCGTTGTATCTAGCAAACTGGAAAAAAAATCAAAAACTTGAGTCCAAAAACATTGAGCTTTCGGACTCTGCCACCATACGTGCATAAAGGAGCCCACTTCTCCACAAACCGGCATGACCTGGAATAAAAGCCTGAAGGCTAGACTTGGTTATCTCCCAAATAGATTTCCAACTATCCTCAGCGATGGAGCAACCCGAATCCCTCTCCCAGGCTGACATATAGTTATGGGGGGTAGAGGTAAGTCCTGATAACAGATGACCATATAGCACTGATAATAACCCTGGTGTATGGGGATCGTCTTTACACACCTTCTCAAAAGGGTTGAATGTTGAGCCAGGAGGGAAGCTGGAAACTTAGGAAGAGAGAAAGTGCATGACCTGGAAGCAACAAAATAGTTCTGCCGCTGGCAATTTCCGAACAAATTTTTTAACATTGAGCAGATAGCAATCCCGTTGCCTACTTCCCTACCCCAGTACGCTGTTTACTTCACAAAAACTCCCTTCAATACCACTGTAAAGATTTTCATATCTATGCTTATTTCACATGATCGTGGATGTTCTTAACCTTGTTCAACACTTATTACATCTTCTCATTTAAATTTTTTTTTGTATTTTGCTTAAAAACAGAAGTGAAGGAAGAAAAAGTTATTTTGAAAAAAACAAAAATAAAACAAAAACGTACATTTGCTTTACCAATACTTATCTAATAGGAACTTACTCTTGACTTGTTGTTTACGAGAATCATGATGTCCAACACTGCTTGGAGGTGGTGGTGGCACGGTACAGCTGGTGCTAGGTCCTTCATATGAGCATGGCTCCTCAGAGGACACATGGTTGTTACTACTACTACTGGTGCTGCTGCTGCTGATGCTGCTAAATGGAGTAAAGGGCTTAATCCTAAAGTGGGATAAACATATCACTGTCAGGAATTTTACTGCATGATGTGAGAATACATCTGTTCTCATAAATGTTTACCCCGTACCTGATCTTCTCATTGACAGCTGCTGCTCCTGTTCCAAACTTTTCTTGTCTTCTGCGCACATCTCGTGGGGGTTTCACCTCTGTATTTACAAAGGCCATTTTTGCTTGCCTGACTGTATTTAGACAAAAAAAAAAAGGGGAAATTTTGACTAACATCAAAATCACTGTGAGACTCAAATAACCTGCAGCTGACTCCATAATTGTATTGTGTATGTATGTAAAATTGATTGTTAATGGTGTATATGTATATATCTATATATATATATAGATATATACATATATATCTCTATATATAGGTTTGTCCCCTACACAGTGTGAGGGCTCTAAGGTTTGTAAATGATGTGGAAAAAATAAAATAAAATAAAACAGGATTTTTGACTTACCGTAAAATCCTTTCCTTGAAGTTCATTAAGTGTCAGGGGAGTACGGCTGGGCTGTGAGTGGAACCCCTTGGCAGAGAAGACAAGCCAAAGTCCGAGGTCGAGGTACAAAGGGGAAATCCGAGAAGAGTAGTCAGGTAGTTAGGTTCAGAAACGGAAGGGCAGGCCAAAGGGTCGGTAAGCGGGAGTTCAAGCAAAGGGTCAGGAAGCGAGACAGGTACAAGGCACATGGGGCTGGGAGATCACACCATAGAGGTAGAATAACTCAGCAACAAGTCAGGGCTCTGACTGGAATAAATACCCAGGGAAGCCTAGGACCACCCCCTGGTTGCCGAGGCGACCAGGAAGCTTCCCCATCCAGGAGCCAATAGCAGGGGCGAAGGGGCGGATGGTGTGTGCTGGGATCTTCCCCGAGCCTGGCTAACACCTGAAGACGCTAAGTGGGCACGGGTGCACTACACGCGCGCCCCAGCACATAGCCTGTGTACCACGCACGCGCGCCCGTGGCGCCAGGATTCCTGCCAGGAGGGAGGAGAAGCCGTGCACTGCGTCACCGCTGGTGACCCCGGTAAGGAGCGGCATCCCTGGTTCCCTGACATTGAGAGACACAGGGTCAAAATGATTCTACGATGACTTGGTTAAACTGCTGGCAACCAGAGACTGGATACTGGCTGACAAAAGCTATAGGCTTGAAAAATGAGCTGCACAAGACAAGTTTAAGGCTAACTGGTTAAGCCTGTATTTGTGGGAGGAGTCTGCGCATCCCCAGCCTTCATAAACCGCCTGCTCAGGCTTCCGGGTACGTGAGGGATCTAGCAGCGCTGTGACGTCCCCTTCCAGACGACGCGTCACTTCCGGTGAGTTCACATGTCACATCCGGTCCCTCGGTCGTAGCACAAGAAGCGTTCCCCTGCCTGCACTGCTCTTGCATCTATTATATGTATACACAAGTATTTATTTATGTCTTCTGCTTGCACAGTGTCATAGCTTTCCGGATGTGCAGTAAAGTAATGTTAGGTGTTTTAAAAGATTCCCGGAGACTGTACAGCACCGGATTCCCTCAGGAAAAAAAGGTGCAAACTATCAGAGCACTAACATTCAGCATCATGTCCTAAGCTAAGCACCAACTTCTCTGCAAACCTTCCTTACGATCCCCATCACATCCAGTCAGGCCATTCATTGCATCGCCCAGATCACAAACGTTATAAATCCACGTGTTGCATTCACTCCGCTCAATAAAACAAAATGTCATTGACGTCACACCCCCTACTCCGTTTGTATGGGCTGCTGCCACCTAGTGGCAGGATGTAGAAACTACAGCACCAAGGAGAGCTCTATACTTCATATGTTAAAATAATGCATGTTCCATCACCAGCATGGGGGATATGGGGGAAAAAAAAAAAAAGGGAAAACACGCATCCCGAGAGGGTCCCGGCATCAATCTTTCTAGGCCAGGGACGGAAGGTGAATTTTTGTTTTGAATTTCATGCGGCACATCACATTGCACCTTAGTGTATCTTTCAGCAGCCATGCTTTACAGACAGCAATCCCTTGCAGTGTCAGGTTAGGGGTAAGAGGGCTAGTTATTTTGCAGGCAATGTGTTCACCACAACACATGGCTGACGGCTGTGCGTGGGGTGTGCCATTTGGAGGGATTGCACCACTTTCAGCTCGCCACCCCTATGCACTTACTTCAGCCGGCAGGCTGGTTGTTGCAGCGGCCAGCGCATGTACAATGTTTACACAGCTGTCACTGCATGCATCCTCAGCACTGGCACACGTTTACAAAATCGTTGGTTCACCACCCCCAGGCACGGAACCTCTTGCATGCATATCCCTGTTCATACATGACTTTAAAACATGTGCTTGGATACATATCTTCGCTGTGTCACTTCATGTGTGCTCATGTTACTTAACAATCGTTCCAGGTGGGTACCGAGACAGTTGGTTCAGGAGACTTGTCCATACTTAGGGGGTAATTTCCTAGTTCCCATGACTTCCTGGTACTGTGTACACATGTTAGGGGTAAGAGCCAACCCGGCTGCGGGTCCTAATAGCATGCCTTTCAGGTCAGGGCGGATGCATCGCTTATGGATTCATAGCTTGACTGCAGGGCCCTGTGTACAGCATAAGCCAGGCAACTAAACGCACCCACTAGGTTGGGTCCATCATGCAAGACACGTGCATGTCGCCACAAGCATCATAGCTGACTGCCACGTTCATTTTTCACCTTATACAGTACCTAGTTCCCTTACATCTAGCCTGAGGTACTTGTTTTGAGTAGCACGGTACTCAATTTGAATGACAGGGAGTTGGCGGACTTTCGCTAACTAACTGACTTTCGGATCCAAGAGTAGCCCATGGCTGTTTTGACATGGTTACCCAGGCTCTGCACTGGGTGTTGGGAGAAAAGGCACTTGGCCAGAAATGATACACTACCTGGATGATTTTCTGGTCATAGAATCTCCTGACAGGGTGCAGCGGGACCTTGACGTATTTTATATACATCCAAGACACTTGGTGTCCCCGTGGCAGCTCTCAAGGTAGAGGGTCCCCTCAGAACTCTAACCTTTTTCGTCACTTGTTCAGAGGCATGTCTCATGTTGGTTAGGTCTCCGTTTGGTGATGTCCAGAGCGTAGCTCAAAAGCCGCATCTACTTAGCGTTTTACGGGTTCTGGAGACCAGGTGAGTTACCTCCTCTAGCTCCAAGACTGTCACGGTACTCGAAAGTAACTTGTGTCGGTACCCCGACCATTACTGGTTAACTCTTGAGCGGGGACTAAGACTAATCAGGTAGGCGCACCCACACGGGTCAAGTGGGTTCTGTCTGGCAATGCAGGGTGCCCGGTATCAGTATTGGATTGTCTCATGGCCAAATTATCAACCACACGGCCGCATGGGCCTTTTTACCTTTTCCGCATGCCGCTCTCTCTTCTCTCAGCAGTTTGTCACACATTCATCTGATCCTCAGGCAGTTGGGGGTAGACCCTAAATGCTATTTTTTGGCTCTCATTTCGCACAGGGGCAGCTTCAGCCGCCTCCCGGCATGGTGTACCTGCCCACGTTATCAAACAGCTGGACAGGTGGATGTCAGTGTGCTTCAGCAGGTATATCCTCAACCCACGAGCAGAAATGGCCAAAGCATTTGCTTGTCTGGCGGTATAATGTAGTTACGGATAAAGGTTATTTCATGTCTAATGTTTGCTTTTGCCCCCTTATTGGCGTACTGTCCATCCGGACCATGGCACACCTCAGGTCTGTATGTTTGCATATTTGTCTATTTTGTTTCAGCACATAGGAAGGAAGCATACGGTAGGCTTCAGGTTTTCCGGTTGTCAGAAGGTCCTTACCAAGCATGCGTTTCCCGAGTCAGGTAAGCAGACTCTGACTACAACTAATAATGAGAGGTAGGTAGTCCCTTAAGGGGACCCTCAGGAATGGTGAAAAGAGAATCAGTCAATGGGAAATCCTTCTTGGGGTGCACTTGGGCAGGACACAGAGATGGAAGTACAATGTTCAGGCTAATTTGAGAGGAAGAAACCACTTTAGGGAGAAAAGATGCATTACGCCTCAAGACAACCTTGTCTCTGTGTAGCACCAGAAATGGTTCTTTGCTAAACAAGGCCACTTAGTGAAAAACTTGCCTTGCAGAGGTGATGGGAATGAGGAAGACTACCTTGTGAGTGAGTGAGAGTAGCCTGTGGAATATCTATGATAGGTTCAAAGGGTGGCTTTTGAGGAGCCAACAGTACCAGGTTGAAATCCCACAGAAGTACAAGAGGAACTATGCGAGCAGCATCCCATACGAAAGCTTTCAGCAAGGAATGAGAGGAAAGCAGTCTTTAAAAAATAATTGTATTTTTTAAGGCCAAATGTTGAATCAGACCAGACTGGAGACAGGTCAGGATGCGTCCAAAGGAGTATGTAATGGGATTGAGTTTCCTTGCTTTTTCAAGTACAATGGTAGACCTTGCAAGAGGTGAACTTCCTAGCTTCTAGGAGCATAGGAATAACTGAATCAGAGAGGGCTCTATCTTTTAGAACCTGGGTTTTAACAGACATGGCATTAAAGCCAGCGACCGTGAAACACGTGGTAAACTGATCCTTGTGATAAAAGATCTGGGCGATCTGGAGAGCCCACAGAGATTCTGCCAAGAGTCTGATGAGGTTTGAGTACCACATACACCTGGGCGAGTTTGGTGCAATATGTATCATTGGAATGCCTTCCCCTGTTTCTATTCTGTGAAGCAGACGAGGAAGGAGTTTCAGAGGAAGAAAGGTGTAGATCAGGTTAAACTGATCCCATGAAGTCACCAGAGCATCCACTGCCATGGTTAGAGGATCCCTGGACCTGGATTCAAACTTGCTTAGTTTATTTGTATAGTGTTCCCCCATGTGTGACAGACGTCTTGAAACATGGGTGAAGACACCATTCCCCGAAGTAAGATCATGGCTGATCCCTTGCAGAGCAGCAAGGTGGCGGTGGTGTAGGCTTCGGGTAGGAGGTAGGAAGGGGCATGAAGCTGTGGAGGTGGCACGTCACATGGGCCTTAAAGCAACATAATTAGAGAGCCGTGCAGACATGAGCACACAATTTTAAAGCTGCATTAGAGTAAAATTCATGTCAGGCTCCCGAAGGACAAAGCCCTGTGACTTACTGCAGCGATGGTCCAGATGCCGCCCTGTAGTCCCCAAACACAGCGTTGGCAAGAGTCAATGCAGGGCCCAGGGAACAAGCCTCATCCAGACAGTCTTAGCCCCTCCAGTGGGCATGCTCACTAGAGTATTTAAGGACAGGGTCCCAGCAATGTTTTTACTTCGGCCCTGGACCTATAAAGCACTCTGAGATTAACTCAAAGAGTGCACCAGGTGTCTGGAGAGTGCCCTAATCAGAGGTCACATTACAGACAGGCCCCACATCTTCAGCATGGCAGGGTCCGGCTACAACTTTCAAGGCTATGCCAAGGATTAGCTGATTCGGAAAAGTGCATAAAAGAGCTCTCTTGGCTCTGCGGTAAACAAAACAGCTTGAATGAATAAAAAGCAGAAGAAAAATCTAGAGGCACGGGTTTGCTTTTCTTAGAGACACTAGCATAAAACTATAAATAATCCTTCTGACCTTACATCCCTTAATGAATGATTAAGAAACAGACTTTTTAAAATCTTAAAAGGGTATATACCACTTTAAAAATCACTGTACGGTCATATTTAAAATTCCATTCGGGCCAGATATTATAGCTCAAGCTATACTTCCGGTCCAATAAACCATTCACAGTACACAATGCGTTTAGTAAATGGCTTGGCGTTTAAAGCTCAACTGAGCCCAGTTTAAATTTACTAAATACATACCAGGTGCATAAAAAAAAGTGTGCAAAATCTTAGGTTCTGTTCACACTAGCCCGTCCGCTAAAATACTATGATTTAGCAGATGGGCTGGTGCGTTGCAGGTTTTGTGTATTTAATATACTTTGTTTTGTTTTACAAGTCCTTCTGAGCACTAACATTTTTGTTGTTTCTTGTAGACACACACCTACATACACTTCTGCTGTCAGAGGCTTATTCAGTAAAATGATGCAAGAAGCAAAGTGCTAATTGCTGTAGTCAGAGTGCCAGAATCTAATTACAGTGCAGTGAATTTTGATTGGATGCTCCTTGCACGGATTAATGGATAAAACTGTTCAGGTTTATAAAAAGCTACCTTTTGGTTTATTTGCATGAGCAGAGCGAATGTTTTCGGTCAACATTTGAAGCCTCCTTTCTCGGGCCTCATGCATTCGAAGGTACACTTCTCTCCAGGACTCAAATTCTTCTGGAGTCTCTTTTTTGAAGTCTCGATGACAATGATTCTTCCAGAGTAGATCTGTGTCTTCCACTAATACCTACAAAAGATATAGTCAGCTGACAGAAGTAAAGAAATGATGTAAACTAGAACTATTCAGCATGCAGGCTGCGTCCCCGAATCATTTGAAAGTCAGGTTATTATTGGGATATGTGACTCCACTCTGAAAACTTCCTCTGACTTTCTGTTCCTGTGACACTAGTAAAGAAATCAGGGGAACAATGTCCTTAAGAGAGGAAGACAGACAGCAACAAAAACATCACATAGGTTCTAAACCTTATCTATTCTACTAAAAATGAGTTTCTGATGTTTTACTATCCCTAGTAAAAGGCTTTGGTTAGAGTTGGTTATCAAAACAAGACTTTTCAGACCAGAGAATACCTTTCAATTACTATATACAAACAAATGCTGCTGCTGCTGCTGCTGCTGCTGCTGCTGCTGCTGCTAGATCGGCCATGCCACACTCCTTTTTTTTTTCCACTCTCCAGCTTTGCCTAGTTGAGCTCAATACATGCGCACAAATAGAGCCCAACCTTATGACTATGTCAAAACGTGCCAAGGCATTTTTGCTGCTGTAAGGTGCTTATTTGAATAAAGTCTTCCTGTGCTCAGGGCCGGATTTACTCTGCATGGCGTCAGGCAATAGGAATTCCACACCCCTGCAACCCCTCTACTCCCTGCCACCCCGAGGCCGGGCCTCAGTGGCCTTGTGGGAAATCCAGCCCGGCTTGTGCTCCATTGTAAATTTTTGGTGTGCATGTATTGATCACCTTAAAATTGTAAAAAAAATTATAAATATTAAGGAATAAATACTGTGTACATCTCATATATAACTGTTTAATGTATTTAAGAATTTGATTCCCGTGTGTTAATTTCTCAACCTCAAAAAAGCTTCCACCAGAACCATTCTTCTATGTGTTCAGTTATCTGTCACTGTATTTTGTATGTTTTCAACTTTTCAGGTAAGCATCTATGAGCTCAAGAAAACACTCACATGATTACATTCTTCAATCCGATACAACTGCTCTGGGGTACACTTCTCCAAGACTGGCTCAAGCACTGAAAACGGTACACCTCCTACTTCGTAGATAGCTGGAAAAGAAAATGGAAATGATACATGAAGGGTATTTGAATATGCTTGCAATGTGTAATAGTTTATGTGGAAAGTGTCTGCATTATTAGTCTGCTAATGCATAGGACCAATATTAACATACAATATATACTACAGTTACTTCTGCTCATAACAGAGATCATTGGATGTCCACATAAAGCCGGCAATGGCTCTGAAAGTAAAGATCTTGGATCTTTAAATCTACATGTATACCCTTATGTATTCAGAAGAACATATTTTTAATTTCTCAGACTTTAATAATCGACATGCCTAGAAAAGTCATAGTGGGCTTTAGGAATGCGCAAATCCTATCACCCATCACCCAGGACATGAAGTTTTGTGCGCCAGGCAGGTGGTGGTTTTTTTGCATTTAGACCTGTAATGTGCAAGAAGGGCTAAATGTAGGGCAGGGGAGCCGACGCTCATTTTCTAGAAGCTATCTGGGCGGCTGTACAGCCTCCAAGACCACTTGTAGCAGCTTGCTTGTTCACCACCAATGTACCCCCCACCCCCTCGCTCTTCTGGGGGACCTAGAACCAAGGCAAATGACGCTAGGATGGAGACTGGGGAGCAGACCGGAGAATGTCCGTCCCCCGATCTGCTCTGCATGATCAGTGAGATAAGAGCACTGTACTCACAGCGCTTCCTGTCTCAGGTGTCACAAACCGGGCTGCAAAGGAGATTGAGCACAATGCGGTGCTCGATCTTCTGTATTGGAGGACAGGGGAGACATAAAGAGAACCTGTCACCTCCAAATGCTATGTTATCCCCTGTGTGATGGCAATTAAGTTAAGAAAAAAAAAAGTGATAAAAAAGTACAAAAAATAAATACATTTAAAAAAAAATTAAAACCAACCCCACCACCCACATCACGCACACGCGTTGTGTGTGTGCGCGCTGAGTGCTGACCTCATTCCACTGTGTGCCATACTGTGGTAGCAGCAGCGCTCTCTAACACGCATAATGTGCACTTAAGGGTAAGTTCACTTTGCCAAGTAATTTGGGAAAATGGAATTACCCGCTCAAATCTGGCCCCCTCTCTCCCCCCTTCTATACGGCCCTTCTCCCCCACTGGTACGGGTGTACTATCTGTACCCTGTACTGCTGTTTAGCGTAGCACTTCGCTATGGATTTTGAATTTCGCTTGCAAATTGCAAGCACTCATTGGTCAGCGCGGTCACCTGACCTCGCTGACCAATGAGAAGCACTTCTTAGCACTGTTAAATACAGCTTTGGTAAAAAAAAAAATTTTATCCGGACAAGTAGATTGAGCCTCTGCTTTAGTCCTTGGGCAAATAGGTTTTTTTTTAAATTTCCACACCCCTGGTTATGCTTCAATACATCATAATAACCCCCACCGTACTTACAGTCTATGTTATTAGCCAGAACACGGATACACTGTTCATAAAGAGACATCATCTTTGGCAAATAGGCAGTTTTAGATCCAGAATACACCTGCATTTTGGAGTTCAATCTACGGCCAGTGAATCCAGCACCTTCATCTTCTTCGTTAGAGAACAAAAGCGGAGCTAAAAGGATAAAATACAGATATCAGGTACTGGTACATAATACAATTATACCCATTGCAAATGCAAACTTGTTTTCATTAAGCTACATATTTATTCTGTGTTACCTTTCCTCTTGGGAGGCGAGAACTGAACCGGTTCAATTGAAGGAAGAGGACGATAATTTGGCTGGATCATAGGTAGTGGAATGTCAGGTAAAACTGGAACCTGGTCTATCTGCATCATAATACATACATAATAGAAGTTATAGCAACACAAAATAACATTCTGTGAAGACTCCTAAAAAATGAAGATTAGGGGAAATACTCCATTAGGAGATTCAACGATCTATAAAATAATTGCAATTTACTAATAAGGCTGCTTCTACATTAACTGATTCAATGCATTACACTCTGACCTTCTTGCCCTATTAAGATTCTATGTCTTTGTCTATTAATTATTTTTCAGTCGGGTTTTTATTGCACTACTGTTTGTACTCTTTGTAACTTGTCATTTTTTTTTGGTTAAAAAATTGAAATTTTTAAAATAAAGAATTTATAAAATAATTGCAATTTATGGTTCTCTAGCGGCTACACTATAACTTACAGTCTACTTTACTAGCCAGATGAAAGGCTTAAAATGAGTTATCAGTTTTGCACGGTGCTGTTGGGTTACATAAAGTGCTGGTTACTTAAACAATATAGGGGAAAGCTGAAATGTACAGGTTTAACCTCTTGCTGCAGCCTCACTTGGACTACATGTCTAGCAGTTATGGTCAGCGTACTGTTGGGATTGCTGTAAAGAATTTCAGAAGCTGCTCAGTGACTGAACTTGCTGATTCTACTAGGGATGTTCAGATACCAGTGCCGATACTTGGCATTTTCATGACAACTACCAGGGTTGCAGCTGGGACCTGGCTCTGACTCTCCACCACTGTCCTGAAATCATTAGTCTGTATTGTTTTAGAAAAACGGTCACATGACAATAAACAAAAAGGTATCAGTACTTGTATCTGTGAGTACTTGAAAAAATAGTATCGGTGCATCCAGAGGCGTAACTACAGATTATGGGGCCCCATAGCAAAATTTTAATAGGGCCCCATGGCAAACCCTTTAAAATCGATATCAATGACAGGTAGCAGGAGAGCTGTCTGCAGAGTCTCTTCCTGTACATCTGATATCAACTCTTCTTGATTGGAAATGCCATAAGGGGTACAGGGTCAACAGCAACTTCGGCAATCCTTCATGGGGCCCCCTTCCACCCCCAGGCCCCATAGCAGCCGCATGGGCTGATATGGCTATTGTTATGCCCTTTGGTGCATCACTTATATATATATATATATTTATCAAAACAAAATCATACATTAAAACAGACGTACAAATCCCAGGAGCTCCGTGTGCTCCTTACAAATGACAGCTGCCTCCTAAATTTTGAATTTTTCTCTAGTCTAGTCTTGGAGCTGGAAAAGTATATGTACTTGTACTCGTACCGAGTACAGAACTTGGTATCTGAACATTCCTAGATTCTACCCATAAATTACTTTTATCGCACAACAACATTAGAGATATGACACACTATCAATGCTAGCATAACAATGGGAAAATTATGGAACCAATCCAATACTTAAGATGTGTTTTGTCATTTCAATCCAACATTTAATCATATCACATGTAATGCCTAAATTGGTCACGTCACTCGTAACTATTGCAGAGTGAGGTTAACCTATTCCCATGTACCGTTATGCTGCATTTTTTATTGTCACTGTGGATCTATCGCTAGCAAAATCTTCCCATATTTCCATTATTGCTACCAAAAGCACTTCTTTTACTATCACACAGATTTACTAAGCTCAAACAGATTGTTAGGGTTTACATACACTTTACATTTGTAATATCCACTAAAAATTAAACTAGTATTTTAGAAGACATATCTAACCTTGCTTAGAATGGCCAGTGAGGCTTCCTTTTTGTCCCTTCTTTCAGATGATGGCTTTGATTTATGTTTGGAAACCTCCTTATGTTCTGTTTTACCATCGCTGACTTTCCTATTACTCTTTTCAGGTGCACTTGCAACCATTTTCGGAGCTGTTTTTTTCTTCTTTTTCTGGGGCAGGTCATAGCTCAGATAAGATTCAAAAGACATAGTCGGCTGCTCAAATTCATCAACCAAGTCTGGTTCTGCTGGTGGAACGGAGATCTTGATGGATTTCTTTTCCTGTGATTTTTGTTCACCTGGTTTAGTTTTTGTTTTACTTTTTTCAGATTTTTCTCTGTGTGCTGGCTCCTGATCATTTTCTGACATTCTGCCTTTCTCGTGAGACTGTGTGTCCATTTTATGTTTATCAGATTTTACTTTCTCGTGATGCCTTTGTTTCCTATCATCCAAAGCATCGTCGGCTTGATTCTTTGAAACGGTGTACTTATGCTTTTCCTTTTTATGGCTGTGCTCTCTGCTCTCTGGAGATGGCAGCTTTTCTCTGCTGCTTCCAGAATAGGATGGAAAGTCATGCATTTCCTTTGAGGGTGTTTTTTCTTTCTTTTTTTCTGGGTTGTGACTTTTAGTCTCTGACTTGTGCTTTTCTTTGTGGGATGATTTCTGCTCTTTAATAACTTTGTGTGGATAGTTCATGACTCTGTCTCTGGATTCATTTGGTGAACTATAGGCGGGTTCAGGAGAATAACCTCTGCCATCTTCAGAGTCCTCGTGGTCTGAATACTGTTCCTTTCCTGACCCACTATGTGATCTGTAACTTTCCTCAAGTTCATCCTCGTATTCATCACGGTATTCTTCTGGCGATGGAGATCGTGGTCTTTTCCTGGAACTGCTTTTACTGTACTCGCGCTCCTCAGGTTCAGCAGTTCTGTACATGCAAATTTATAGAAAGGTAAATATTAATGGCACAATTTGGACGTTAAAGAGACTTGCATTTGTTAGCTAACAGAATGGTAGATATTATTATAGAATCTATTGTTACCTTGGGATTTCCTGCGGCACTAATTTCTTCCACTGAGCAACCATGTTTTTTGCTATGTCTCCTACAAGCTCATTTTTCCGCAGTCCATTAACCGTCTTGCCTATCCCAGTGTCCTATATTAAATAAAATACATAACAGACAAGAAAATGCTCCTTTCAAACTTCAGTTAAAGAGTTTCACTGTTCTAAAAGAAATGTGGAAATAGTCACTGCTAAATATACTCGTTGACTGGCTGTCTCTAAAAGTTTTATAGACTTTTGCCCCAGAAAAATAATGCAGCAAGTAAAATCCTGTTCTGCATATTTGCTTTGCCACTGAAAGTATAGGAGCCAGAGCATTATCATGACAGCCAGGCAAATAGTATTTTCAGGAAAAGTCAGCAATGGCAGCTTCCACTGAAAGGTATAAAAGCAGAATCATTTCATTATTAAATACTCATTTACTTAATGTAGTGCTTACAAGGTATGGAATTACAAAATATATACATTGCATAATAAGAAAAGCATAAAATCTGAATAACCTTACCACCAATATATCAAAAGTAATAGGCAGTTCTGCTAACCTCTTCAGTGTCTTCAGAAGCTGCAAAACAGAAAATGGAAGTAATTGTTACACTTGTATAGATGTTGCTAAGTGGACAGGGATTAACCAATCTCGCATGACACTGCTTACACCAACACATTACAATGCATTTTTGCATGGCCAAACATTTTGTTAGAGGAACTTTATGCAGCTATGTGCATTAAAGTGCATCTCAAAGCTCAATTGTCTGTAAGCTTTTGTAAACATCTGTTTGAAAAATACTATGGCATTAATGTTAATAATAATTTTTTTAAAAAGTTATTTTTTTAACCATCCCAGTCCTCCTGCAGCACTAAACTCTAGAGCAGGGGTGCCCACAATTTTTTGTGTCGAGATGTACTTTTCAAATGACGAGCTACATGAGATCTACCAACGAAAAAAAACCTCCCTAGCTCTCTCTCCTGGCTGTCACTCCTCACTCTCCTGGCTGTCACTCCTCACTCTCCTGGCTGTCTCTCCTTGCTCATCCTCCTGGCTGTCATTCCTAATTTTCTCTCCTGGCTGTCTCTCTTTGCGGTCTCTCTTCGCTCTCTCCCCTGTCTGTCTCTCCTCTCTCTCTTTCCTGACTGTTTCTCCTCTCTCTCCTGGCTCACCTTGCTGTATTTTGCAACAGGCTGTGTATACTAATATTCTTTGATGTAATACATAGCACTTCAACCACCAGAATCCACCAGAAAGGTGTCAGGGAGCTTGGCTCAGCAGACTCAGGCTAATAGGTAATCATGTGTGCACAGCGAAATAAATATATCAAAATGGAATAAAGGGGCCGCCATTCACACCCTTCGCAATCTACCAGCATCAGCTTCGAGAGCTACTGGTAGATCACAATCTACCTAATGGGCACCCCTGCTCTAGACTATGTGTATTTGTGGGTGGTCCACAGTGGCGCTCGGATATTATGATCTTGTGACATGCAGGGTACCTGGAAGGACATCTCCCATCACTCATTGTGGCCATTGTTGTAGCTAAAGAAGTTAGGCTCCTCAGCTCAGAGAGATGATGTTGTGCACCTGTAAGCTTGAGGGCTTGTTCACACCATGTCTGGATCATGTCCAGACCGGAACAGTTTGTCCCCGGACCAAAAAAGCATCCCAATGTATCCCTATGGTATTTCTGGGCTCTGTTCACAGCGCAGTCCATTCCGGTCTAGACAAAAAATAATACTGCTTATCTCATTTTCTGTGGACTAGAATGCACTGGAACGCATGGAAGCGCATCAAAAATGCATACAAACACGCTGGACTGCACCTAAAAGCCAATTTTAAGCTAAAGAAAAGTGTCAAAATCGCAGTACAAATGCACTGCACGGCTTTTGCATATCTGGTCCATACATGGAGTGAACATAGCCTAAAGCATATTTACACCTCTAAAGAACAAATGTATTATATTGCAGTTTACCAGTACGTAGATATGGTGGCTACACTCGTTCTCAGGCTTTCTTTTCCCTTCATTTTGTAAAAAAACGCCCTTCTGTCCTTGAGTGACAACACTCACTGCACTGTATGTATGTATGGAGGAGCAGCGTTGTCACCCTAGCACCTCATTGCTCTTTTGATTTGGACTTCATCTCCCCCTCTCCCTCGCATAGAGAGGACTTGATTTGAAGTTCACAGAAGATAGCTGAGAAAACTGATAACATTATTTGAGATTTCTGTTCAGTCCACAGGAAGTAACAAGAACACAAGATTTCTGCCAAGATCAACAGGTATTATTTGTACTTGCTGTACTTAGCCTTTGAAAAGAAGACAAATGCTGCCACCACATCCAAGGACCTGCAAGTTGAAATATATTTATTTTTTGTTCTTGGGTTTACTTTAAGGGCCTGTTAACGCCATCACCAGACCAGTAAGCTTTTTTTTTAACCGCACCAAAAACGCATACACAGTAATTCCAATGATTTAAATGAGGCTAGTTCACACCACTTCCAGAGGTTCAGTTCCAGAGCTTTTTCTTTAAAAGGTACAGCAGCAAGCTTTTTTTTCTCACCAGAACACACAAAAATGCACGTCAACGCACCAGAACGCGCTTAAACCCAAGCAAAACAATTTTTTTTTTAAAAAAGGGACTGGAACGCATCAAAAACGCACATAAATGCATATGCGGAAACACATCCAGAACTGGTCTGAAGATGGTGTGAACAAGCCCTAAGTGAACAAAGTGGATCATTTAAAGGGACAATGCTGCAGGTAAGAGTGGGACAAAGTTATGATGTTTTTCAGTAGTCTAGAGCAGGGCTGTCCAACTTGCAATCCGTTTTGTTTTTGTGATCCGTGAAGCTGCCCTGTTCCTTTTACCCCACCGCTCTTGTAGACAAATCCCAGCTGTCAGTTGGGATTTGCTCAGTATCACAGATGTAGCCACTGTGGTGTGTAAAATGGAGCTGCTGAACAGCGTTCGGAATACTTCTGAAGCTTCATTTAGAAATAGCTTGTATACTCTACAGAAAAGCTGCATCACTGGATGTGCAGGGAACAGAAAGAAACACGTGCCACTGAAACAAAAGAATACCCTCTATATGCTTGCACTACCCTATAACATACAACATGTACATGAAAACTTTATTAGAGAAATTGTACATATGATAAACAAGTATTGCATACTTGCATGTGAAAAAAAGTTAAAAAACAATGAAAAGAAAAACATCATGCCAATCCACCAGAACCAAGGAGCCTAATAACCCCTCCAAGTCTCAAAAATACCCCATAAATAGCCAGGATGGTGACTCCCAGGTGATTGGTCACCGCTAGTCTAGAGGGAAAAACACTTTCTGACATTTTATACAGCACAAAGGTTTATTTTCAGACCGTCTTTATTCTCAAATATCTCTTATTGCCAACGGCAGTTTTGCAAACTGACAAACTTGTAGAAATAAATTCCTCTTTCCCTATCCGTTTTATTGATTGTCTTAGTTACCCATAAACGTGCACATGGCTTTTTTAAGACATGTTATTTATGGTCAGTGTTTGTACTGGGTGCAAAGAAGCCTGGGAACGAGCAAGTCCAAGCCCTCCCACCCGCTGCTGTCATTCAGGCAATCTGAGGGCACAATGTCAGCTCTAGTCTGTGCAGGCTTTTGATTTCACTATTCCAGCCAAGTTCATTAGAGGAATGAAGTCTCTGCTGTGACCCCCCAAGAAGAGTAGCACAGCCCTCCTAACCTTCCCACACTTGACTAGAATAGTGAGATTAAAGTCAAACTATAGTGGTTTACATTTTTCAGCTGATGTTTTAGATTACACACCTTTTTTATAAACTCTTTGTTTTACAGGAAAACCTTAAATGTAGCGTGCACCACTAACACAGGATTTACATAGCAGGCATGAGTTTTCTAAAGGGCACAGCAGCAGCTGTTTGCTTTCAGTCTCTCTCTCTCTCTCTCTCTCTCTCTCTCTCTCTCTCTGACTAAAACTCTCCATTGTCCATCTGAACAGGGCAGGCAGGGGGATGAGTAGCTCTGCTGATTCAGTTTTGTGTTAACTGGAGCCTGAGCTACTGAACGCTACAAATTGTCTTTATTTTGGCAAAGCAGGAAAGGATAGCCTGACCATAACAAGTGAAAAGGCACCTAGAGCTCCAACTGCTCAACTGTTGGCGCTATATAAATACTATGTAATAATAATAATAATTTAAAAGGAAAATATTCATATATTTCATATTTCACCTGATTGTAATAAAGAAAATAGATGGAAAACCACTGCACTCATTCTGATACAGTAGAAAAAAGACTGCAATACTCTCCTTTCACCTAAAGCAGCCCCCCGCAGTGCTTCTCTTTCACCACAAGATGTCCTCAGCATCATTCAACAAAGAAGACAGAATGAATATTCTAGGTCACTATGATGCTCTTCATTCATACTGTATTGAAGCAGACAGCAGTGGTGATGTAATGACGTCAGAGCCACTCTCTGCATTAACTTTGGACTGGGAAGAAAATGTGAAAGAGAAAGAAGCGGACTGTAATATAAATGACCTGAAAAAAACAGAAGCATACATAGGGGAGGGGGTCTCCAGGAGAGAGTGGGGACTGTTTTAGGGAGAGGGCTGACATTATTTTAGAAGCATGGATGCTGCCATTGCTACTTTGTATTCTGTAAATGCTAGTTGCCAGACTGTGAGGCCTACCCTCAGGCTTTGATACTTTCAGTAAATGACCTGTACGAAGTGTGTAAATAAGGACTTCTGCCTTTCTCCGACTCTCCTGATATGTATAGTTGTTCCAGAACTATGACTCAAAGCCTTGAAGCCAGTGGTTCAGTGTAAAGCCCATGCACGCAAAGCCGCATGGAGCTGTTCATGCAGTGTGTCTTGTCATTTTTCACTCCGCCACGTCAGCTTTAGAGCTGCAGCTAACGATTATTTTCAAAATCGATTAATTGGTTAAACAATAAAATAAAGTTTAAAAAATGGCTCCAGTGATAGGACAACTAGTTTGTATTGAGGTTGTAGTCCATCCCAGGAGCAAGCTTGGAGCGGTGGAAGTAAAAAAAAAAAGAAAAAAGATAGTGTGGTGTGCAATATAGTGAAACGGAAAGTGTAAAATTATACAGCAATGAATGCAGAATGGCACCGGCTATAGAGGACTACAAAACCCAGCAAAAGCACATTATACAGCGCAATGCAGAATACCGCCAGCTATAGAGGAATACAACAAATCCCAGCAATAGTACTGTATTTTTCCGTGTATAAGACTATGCTTTTTCTTAAAATATTTACCGAAAAATGGAGGGGCGTCTTATACACGGGGGGCCGAGAGGAGAACCGCGGTTTGCAAAACTGCCGATACCTCTGCAAACTAGCCTCACAAGAAACTTCCGATTGCAGAGACAAGCTAACAGGTTTCCTCCAATCATGAGCCTTACGTACCAGACGTCAGCTGATGCTGCGGAGAGTGTGTAGCCAGTGCCCAGATGCAACAGGGAGCAGTAATGTCTGAGCATTCTGAGCCCATAAAAATGTCAGAAAACCCCAAAAATACCGGTACCAGTAAGCAGCTGTCTTAC